TACCTACGGATTTTTAATAATAAGGTTGAATCCTTCACAATTCAATATCCAAGTGAGATTAATAAAATAAAATATATCATAAATAATATATAAAATTAAGGTGGCAGGTTTTTTACTTGTATACATTTTCCACAATATTTTAATTCATCTAGCACACACTTTGCAAATAAGATTTAATGAGTAACAATTACAAATTACAATAAACGAAGTAAAAAAGTCAACTTTAGGAAAACATTTTAATGGCGATCAGAAAATGTGATCTGGACTGCGAAAAAATCGCCGTGCATATAATGATTTTTTTTATTATTTCAAACTATTCATAATGATCTGAAAATAAACAGTTGCCTGGCGCTTAAAGCCTTATCTTTCGCCCTAAACTTAATTGCTTTTTAAATTGAAACCGAAATCTCCCGCTGAGCTCTACTTTAAGCCCGCATTGGAGGTGTGACTTGGAGGCTTTCGTCGGAAGCTGAGATGGCCAAGAGCGTGACCTATACGCTCATTAATTCCGTTGCTCCAGGCGCTGATTTGTTCATCATTACGAGCTGGGAATGGCTCGTGGATGGTCAGATAGAAAGTGGCAGGAAACCATTAGCATGGACAGTTGTTAGACAAGTAAAACCCGAGTTGGTTAACTCGCTGAAGCTGTTGGCCTGAATATAAATGAAATAATCAAAACACATATATGGCGCAATGCCGTTTAATCACTCGTCAAAAATCACAAGAATTCCCCGCACAGGCCGAACGAAAGCTTTCTGTGCCAACGACTCAGAACTTTCCAGCTAACACATACACGGAGAATAATAAAAAAAAGGCAAAACAGAACGAGAATGTCGAAGAAATGTTTACAGAAAGTTGTCATGAACCAGCAGCAGACACGTAAAAATTACATAAAAATGAGCAGAAACAAGGCTAGAACCAGTCACCGACTTGGTCCAGACATTTCCGAGACGCCCAAGCGCTCACTTGCCACACACAGGAAATTAACTGGAAAAATGTGTACCAAATCTGAAAATGCGGCTCATTAAAAAATAGCCAGCGTACATACCTCAAGATCATTTTGTTGACGTTGCACGTTGCCACTTGGCCGTTGGCCGCCGTTGTTAATGGAGTCTTAAATTGCGTTGGGTGTATGGGTAGGTATTTGCCTATGTTTGGTTAGCGAATACTTAAGACTGTGAATTAATCCAATTATAGCAGACGATGACCCACGCTTAGTTGGCCTCAATTAATAGCGGACGAGGCGCGGGGTATTCACGAAAAAGTTCGTTGCCTGAGTCTTTTGTTTGGTGCGAGAATTTACCAAATAACGAACACTTGTCGCGGCTGCGGGTAACTTTTACTATCGGGTTTCACCCTTTTGTCACTAATTTCAACTTCTTTTCCAATGCACTTTGTTTCCTGCACGTTCACTCACTCACACGAAAGGGCCCCGATTTCTTTTTCTTTTTTCCGCCTGCACAACCGCCACGGAGTGTGTCCAACAATTAACTGAGCTCCGCCAGCCGATGCTGCCACAGAAAAGCCAAAAAGAAGCTAACAAACGTAGCCGGCCCGCCGTCGACGTCGGCGTCTGCGGAGCAGCGATAGCAGTCAACAACTTCGGTTATCAGCTGCCAAGTGCCGGCGGCTGCAGCGGCAAAAAGCAAAATATATTCAGACGCCCCGAACGCGACTCGTTTTTGAGTGAAAGTTTGAGTGGAGTCAAGTTGGACTGCGTGTGCTTTGTCTTGAGGTGAATGTTTCCGTGGTGGGTTTTATAGAGTGCAGTTTGTGTCTTAAGTCTTTTGAATTCAAAGGTTTTTACTGACAAAAACATTAAAAAATTAAAATTATATTTGAAAAAAAAGTTTGTTTTTTAAGATTTTAAGTTCATTAAACGATGATATAGACCCAAGATAATATGATATAATATAATACACATTAATATAAGCAAAACAGTATTTGTTATTTACTTCAATTTATTTCATTTTAGCAATGAAACATTTTTTGTTGTCTCTAAAAAATTGACTCAGAGTCTATTGAATGACATTTAAAATTGCTATTGGTAGGCAAATAAATTATTATTTAAGTACTTTATAATGCAATAAAATAAGCAAGATACAATTTATTGCCGACGGCAATATTTTGCAAAAAGTTCAAGGCTTGTATTGTATTACATTGCATTAGAATACAATTTATTTATGAGGCCTGACAACTTTTAAATAATCCCGTTGTGTTCATAAGTAATCTACATTCGGATATTTTCTTAATAATTACTTTTTACAAAATAATGCGAGAAATTAAAAAAAAAACAGAAAATATAGAGCCGTGATAAAACAAAAATTTACAACAAACCATATCACTTAACTTAACTAATACGAAATCGGTTAATTTAGTGCTATCTTAATCTTAAGCTATTAAGTCCGTGAAACCATATACTCCCACACAAAAAAAAACATTTCACTTTCAACAGCCAACCACTCGGTAATTATTTAGTGACGGCTGAGCCCCATAAAGCAACTCCTACTCCGATATCTGAGATCTTCAATGCCCATGTAAAAATAAAATCTCAATCTGCAGTCGTTTCTTTTTCTTACACGTACTTATTCAATTTGCTAAACCGAGCTGCACCTTCGACAGAGCAACTTTTTAGAGCCTCGTCAAATCAGCGGTATATCAGTACGAGCCAATTAATTTAATTTGTCAAACCGCACATAAAAATCTGGCGAACCTTCATCATAAGTCAAAACTGGGAGGGAGCTAGTATACAATAAAGCAATGCAAAGGAGGCTAAAAATAATGAGCGTAAACCAGAAAACGTCAAAACGGGGGGCAATTGATATTAATTTCCCCGAAAACACCGCCGAATGGAGTTTTCCTGTGGTAAATTTTGGCTGTGGCAAACAGTTGAGTCCGTATCGATTTTTTTGGCCTTTGGCTTTGGGCTGTGTTGGGTTTGACAATTGCTTTGCATGAACGCACGAATATTGTGCAACATTTTTGGACCAGGGCAGCAGCAAAAAACAAGATCAGTATTAACAATGTACCACGCATTTTTTGAAAAGTTGTTCGTGCCACGTTTTTGTTCTTTTATTTAACTCAATTTTGGCTCGGGGTTGACGTTGTTGTATGAGCATTTAATGCCGAAATTTTGTATTATCGGCCCGGTTTGACTGCCTCGAGTCCGGCTGACTGCTTTTTCTCTATTTAATATTATATGATTTTTTTTTAACTGGCTGTTTGCTATTTAAACATGCTATTAATTTTTAATGGCGTGTGACATTTTTGTTTACGCACAGCCTCAATGTAGAGCAAAACATTAGCATGTCGGCGGTATTAGTTTACCAATTTTCTTGCTGCCATTGAGCTATTTGACGGTGTCTTAATTGATATTTATCGCTGGACGATTGCCATGTTCATCATAATAGAGTCGTGTAGCCGACAAAAAGCTCATTACTTTGGCTGACTGGTGGCTGCATGGTAAACGCGCCTACAATTTGGCCATTTGATTAGCCTCACCTCGTCATGGTCGTCGGGGCCCCAAATGGTCGATCCAATCCGGCACATAAAATCCAATTTAATTAAGTTGGACTCTCGGATTGAGACGCAGTCGGAGGATCGAGACTCAGATGGAGGCCCACAAAATCACAAAGTAGCAGCTGCCGTGGCAGACAACCTTGCCAACATTCTTAACGTGTTCAAGATTTTTACCAACGCACTGCATTTAGGTTTGTTGTTGTCGCGTTCACTTTTCAAATGCTTACGAAATGTCAATATTCGGCACAGAGTTATTTGTTATTTGATCGGATCGATTGAGCAATTGTTGATATACAATTTTTCTGTGTTTGTTCTTTTTGTCTAACGGTTTCTCATTGATTTGTTAGCTAATTGTATACGAAAAATGTAATTAAAACTAAAACTAGTAACTGGAAACCCACAACGCTTGCATGTCAGCTTGACAAACGAAAAATAGGTAAATAAAAAATGTTAACACCTAGATCGCACAGCTGGTGTGACAACGGTGCGAATGAGTCATGTTGCACTGGAGTGCAGTTTGAATTAGTTGAGATGAAGTGCCCAAAGTTAAGAACTATCAAAAAGCCTAATAAAATAACATTATCGAATAATCATAAAATATTTGTTATCGAATGTATATTTGTATACATATGAGTGATACACCCAAAAATGGTTCACACACTTGATTTCACTTTCTAAATTGCAAAAATCACAAAATGATTTTTACGTAATTTCATTCAATGTTGCCACCATGACATTTAATTTTTAACATTTTTTCATTATTATTGCCCACCTATCAAACTTCAATTGGGTTTGCCATTTCTTAGACAATCGTAAGCCTAATTTGCTTTCATTGTTATGGATAATAAACAGACCCTGAGCTATATATGGCAAGGTTAACCATTATTTTGGGGCTCTATCACTTGAGCCTATATTTTCAAACCTATTTTCGCAAATGCCTGAGTTCCTGACAACCGCGATGATGGGTGTTTCTATTTTGGCTTACCAAATAGACGGCTTAATCAAGTCTTGTATATGCCAATTAAATCGATGGCTGCTAGTAATGTTAGTTAGACCATAATTTTGTGAAAAAGAGCCTTCTGTGTCATGCTAGTCATGTTTTATGCATAAATTGCTTTAGGAGCTGAAAATGCGAATGGAATATATTTTTCTTCGAATTTCTGTGTCCAGCTTCATTTGCCAACGCTTGCTAAAGTATGTGCTTCTAACTTGAATTCATGTTAACTTATTCATATTTTTTATATGAATAGTAGCAGACTGGTTGTTGAACTCCATCATTCTGATTTATTATCAGCTAAATACCGAAATTACAAAACTGGATCATCGGAGTTTATATAAGATAAAATCTTTCTCATATTATCATTTTATTTTTAATAAAATAAATGCATTTAACTGCGTTCATGCTTTTTTAAGTACCCAGCTTTCTGCTATAAAAGGATTCACTTTTTTCAAGGTAAACATCAGTTGTTTCCCATTCTACAATCAAGCACCTAATTAAAAGCCCAATTTCGAAATGGCACTCTATTATATTTTGTCGATCAGTGTCCTGGTTGTCCTCGCCCAAGGATCCTATTTGTCGTCGGTGAATCAGGAATCTGGAGTGGGTGTGCACCGCTCTGGAGCTATTTCATCTGGAGCTCCAGCTATTGGATTAACACGTGGATCCGCTGCTCCTCAGCCCCAACGCCCCAGCTCTGGCTATGGATACCTCTCTGGTGCTGTCGGAGGATCCCGTCGAGTGCCCGCAGTGGGAGTGACCGGATCTCGTCCTTATGGTGGAGCTCTGCGTCGTCCGTCTGCTGGCGCTCTGGGTCGTCCAAATGCAGGAGGAGCTGCCGCCTATGGAAATGCTTACCAGAATCGCCATCACAGCCAAAAGCCTTATTAGGAAACAGCACTTATTATCAGCTATTGACCAAATCCAATTGACCATCTACATCTTTCTTGTCCCATAGCTAATCTATTTGCACACCTTTCTCTATCGCAAGTAATAACAAATGTTATAAAAAAATTTAACTTGAATACTATTACTTTACAATGGCGGGGATGATATTGAATATTGGGGAATATTCAATTCATATAATACAGTACCAAGCACTTAAACCATAGCAACATGTCACCTTCGATGAACTGGTCAAAGTGCCAATTAAACTTTAGCGACAAGTCATGCACCCAATCGGCTGCACTTCATGATTTAAACATTTCTTGAATAGTTTCCTAAAAGCGAGTAGCCATTTAGGCTGGGAATGTGAATTTGATTTTCAGACATTTAAAAGTTAAGAATTTGTCAATATTTGGTTATGTTGAGCCGCTAAATCTTGAAGCAATAAAATAAATCAATATATAAATAAGCAATAAACTGCTAATATAGGTCCACAGAAATTACGTATAAATATAAATGTAATAAAGTGTACAACTTAATTATACGTGTGAATAATATCTCCGTTGAAAAAATCCTAAAAATTAACTTGACCATGACGTTTAAAAATTCAAAAATCTTTTACATATCTCCGAATCCTTGCTCCACGATTTTTTGGAGATCTGATTCGGAACATTTGTGTCCACAAAGGACAACATTTAAATGTAATTTTGAAATATGATTTTTAATTTTATTTATTGCTTTTTCTCCATAACATTTTTATCGGAGACTGAGTTAGATTTTGGATTTAGTATGGTTTTTGAATCCAATTGCGATTCTGGGCATGATTAGCTCCTCCGCCGATAGGACGTCCAGCGCTACCGATGGCAGCAGGACGAGAGTTGTATCCAGTTTGGCGACGACCATAAGTAGCCACAGGACGAGTAGCAACTGGACGTGCAGCTTGTGATTTAGCCTGGGATCCTGGGGCCGGTCGCACCTCGGGAAAACTAATAGCAGCTCCTGAGGAAACACTTCCACCAGAATGAGCTTCCACCGAGGATACAGGTTCCACTTGCGTTTTTTGGGATCCCTGAACAAGGACGATCAGAACACAGAACACGAAAACAAAATGGAATGACATATTTTTTTGCTATTTTTACTAGAGATCTGAAATGAATTTTAGATCTTTGTTTCGCAACTGACGGCACCTGTGAATTAGCTTTCTTTTTTATACGCAGAATTTTCGTAGGTCATCCAGAAATCTAAAATTACATACCCTAATACCCTAATGATTTAATTAGTTGAAAAGTTCTTACTGACTTGAGTATGTTATAAATCATATTTGCGGGAGTTTCCCGTTACTTTAAATACTTCGAAGTTTACCTAATGTTAAATGTTATTCACTGGCCTCATTATCACGCTTTATAATAAATGAAATGATAGTGACTGAACAAGTTTATCATTAGCGAAACTGGTTTTTTGTTGACGTACTAGTCTTACGTTTTTTAAGGTTTATTTTTATAATAACATTGGAGAGCGTTGCGGACAAACCTTCTAAGGTGGTATTAACCTATTTTTATTTAAATTTCAAATTTAAAAAAGGCAAAATATTTGATCCTTGAGTCAGTACATATTATATAAGGCGCTGAAGACAACAATATATCGGGCTGCCATTTAGGTTTTTTGGTATTAGTGTTTCAGGTTAGACTATTACTTTCAACGTGGAAATTTAAGCTTTTTATTCTAACTCAAATTATTTAAACTCTTTATATAATTACAATATACCAAGGCACTTTATTAAATGACAAACATCTTAGATGTTAGGAGAGAAAAGTACATTTGCCTCTGAACCTTTCAAGAAGATACAACTGGAGTTCATTGGTCTCAACTTAACAAATTACACGAGAAGATAATTGTTTACATTAAGAAGAGTTACAAATCTTTAGAAAAGACCCGATGTTCCCATTTTTGATCGGTCAATAAACTTAACAATAGTGTATAGTTATATTTTTCAATTTTCTTTGCTAACTGAGAACTATAAAGTCAATACATAAGATCAATTAAACAGCTTAGGGTAGTTTTTTATCATATTACAAAAAATAATGTATATATCTGATATCTCCGGTTATGTGAAACTCAAAATCACTCAAAAGACTACTTGTGTCGAAATTAAAATGCTTAACAAAAACGTTACTTCATATACTCGTAATATTGTGATTGATCACAATATCTCTAATATCTCAACTAATTGCATTGAAGACATTCCCAACTGATATAAGAGTACTCATATATGTTTCTCAAAGTTTAATTTGCAGAGTATGACATTAGGAAATAAGTTTAAAAGAACAGCTAGAGCTCATAAACATAAAAATGTGGCTTAGAGCATTTCTTCAGATCGGGACAGGGTGATGTATAATTTTTCAGGTGTATCTAATATGGTTTCTGGTTGTGGTTGCTGTGTACATTTCCTGGGGCAGCTCCACCTCCAATTGGGCGACCTTTAGTGCCTGAAGAAGAACGACGAGGAGCACCACCATGAGGACGAGATTTGGCAGCTGAAACTTCGCCCACTCGACGGGATCCTCCAATAGGTCCAGAGCTGGATCCATAACCGGAGGCAGGACGCTGAGCCTGAGACGCAACTGGGCGGCCACTGGTAACACCAACGACAGGAGCTCCAGATGAAACCACTCCAGAGTGATGCACACCCACAGGAGTCTGCTTCTCAACTGGCGAAATATTTGATCCTTGAGCCAGGACGATTGAGCCTGAAGAAGAACGACGAGAAACACCACCATGAGGACGAGATTTGGCAGCTGAAACTTCGCCCACTCGACGGGATCCTCCAACAGGTCCAGAGCTGGATCCATAACCGGAGGCAGGACGTTGAGCCTGAGAAGCAACTGGGCGGCCACTGGTAACACCAACGACAGGAGCTCCAGATGAAAGCACTCCAGAGTGATGCACACCCACAGGAGTCTGCTTCTCAACTGGCGAAATATTTGATCCTTGAGCCAGGACGATTGAGCCTGAAGAAGAACGACGAGAAGCACCACCATGAGGACGAGATTTGGCAGCTGAAACTTCGCCCACTCGACGGGATCCTCCAATAGGTCCAGAGCTGGATCCATAACCGGAGGCCGGACGTTGAGCCTGAGAAGCAACTGGGCGGCCACTGGTAACACCAACGACAGGAGCTCCAGATGAAACCACTCCAGAGGGATGCACACCGACAGGAGTCTCCTTCTCAACTGGCGAAATATTTGATCCTTGAGCCAGGAGGATTGTGGCAATGAATACAAAAATGATACGGAGAGCCATTTTGATTTTTTGCTCTGTGGGTATTGCTCGTAAGACAACTGATGGTTTGAGTTGGAAAGTGTGAACTTATATACATTTGAAACCAGGCAATTTAGGGCAGCAAAAGCATGTAATTAATTATTTTAAAACAGTTAATATCTGACTCACCAATCTCAACCATCTAAGTAATTTGCTATTTCAATTCTCTTGTTTGCCAAATAAAGGTTTATGAACTTAAAAGCTTTGCTTGAACAAATTTTAATGGAATATTTTAGTTTCAATCATAAAGTTTTGAACAGGGTCGATACACCAAATGTATTTGCTGAATTGTAGATGAAGTCGTTTTTGGTAAAAATGATAATTATTTCTTAGAAATAAAAAAAAAATTGTGACCAAAATACCCTTATATACATTTGATACAAAAACTTAACCAAACTGGAAAATATATAGGTACGTAAATACATCCTGATTAAAGTCTAATTAACAGTGAAGAATTAAACAGGGAAACTGACAAAAAAGTCAATGGCTTATTATAGAGTATATTATGAATTCGATATTTGCTATGATCTATTTAATAAAACGCCGACATATTTTCAATGTTATATATTTATTTGAAAATATTTTGAAGATTTTGTTGCGATGTTTAAGAACATATTAGTATGTGGATATTTGTGAGTGACTAGAATACATTGATTCGGAATTTCATTCTCTTCTTTTTCATTGGCTAACAACTTAATGTTTTTCCGATCTAAGCACCTAAATGCTATCTAAGCAATAATGTGTTTACACTGAAGTGTATAAATCCACAAAACTACAATCAGGAATACCAGTTATTTGGACAGTTTCTATCGCACAACGTATAAAAATTGGATTTCTAGGACATATTATTGAGTCTTAAAGAAATTAAGCATTAAAATTTTCTGACATATTTATACCCGTTACTCGTAGAGTAAAAGGGTATACTAGATTCATCGAAAAGTATGTAACAGGCAGAAAGAATCGTTGCCGACCAGATAAAGTAAATATATATTGATCACGATCAAAAGCCGAGTCGAATTGGCCATGTCCGTCTATGAACGTCGAGATTTAAGTAATTATAAGAACTATATCCCAAAATGTGAAGATTAGACATGCAGCAACCAAAAACGTAGAAGCAGCGCAAGTTTGTTTCCAAATGTTGCAGCTCAGAGCCCGGATCTATATCCCGCCAAAGTCCAAGTTTTGCCACGCCCGCTTTAACGCATACAATTTCCACTAACTGAGTAACGAGTAACTGAATGTAGGGCAACTCGTCTATAGCATTCTTTGTTTTTATTTATGTTATTGTGGTTGTAAAAATTAAATTTCAGTTTGTTCTATTGGGTTTCAATAAAGTGTGTTAAACGATTTCGCAGATTGATTTGGGCAGAGGGCTCTTAGCCATTAAGGCAACCATGGTAGCCATTTCCGCGACCAGCTCCCACAGCGACTGGGGCAGGGACTCCATAAGGCTGTCGAATGGAAGCCACAGGAGCACCCACCACAGAAGGAACCACCGCGGCAGCAGGACGAGCGTAGGACACAGCAGGACGTGAGTAGGACACAGCAGGGCGTGAGTAGGACACAGCTGGACGAGCGTAGGTCACAGCAGGACGAGGTGCAGGCACATAGGGTCGTGCACCAGCCAACCCTAGCCCGACTCCTTGATTACCTCCGCCAATGGGAACTGGAAGTTGAAGCGCGCCATGACCAACGGACTGGGACACAGATGGATGGCCTTGCGAAATGCTAGCGACAGGAGCACCAGAGTGGATGGGCACCTCTGTTTCCTGGAAGAGATTTGATCCTTGGGCCAGGACCAATATGGCGCTGAAGATTACAATATAATGGGCTGCCATTTGGAGATTTGGATAATTTTCTTGATTGCTTGCTAAACAACTGATGCCGTCTGCTGCTGACTTTCAACTTTTATACCAGAGAAAGAGAGAAATTTAGAAGTTTCAAGGGTTGTAAACTGTAATTTTTAAGTAATTATGGTAATTATAGAAACCACTCAAGTACTGTAATCCAAATTCTAAGTTCACCCAGTTTATTGCACTTTAAACCGATTTCTCATCTTGATTATAAAAGATATTGCAATTTAAATAATACAAGGCAATTAAAGCTTAATTTGAAATTTATTTAATGTGATGTACTGAAGTTATCGACTGTCAACTTAGTAAAACATATTTCTATTGCACCCATTGTTAAATATATATTATTATAATATATATGAAATCCAATATTCGAAATATCCATATATTTAGTGTACCACGAAACATTTATTACCTATTATATAAATATAGCAGAATATTTAGAATATGACCTATATATGAAACCAAACGGAGACAAGAAAGGTCATCTGAAAGTCCCTCTTCTTTTAATTTTTGTAATCATTGCATTTTTGCCAAATTTTGTTTTTCAAGTTGTTGCCCATCTAATCAATTATTGTTTATCCGTATCGAATAAAGTGGTATCGAATATAGTTGTATCGAATAAAGTATTTTGTACGAACAACATTTGCCTGGTTATTTGTTCAAGGGGGATGCCAATGTGATCTTGCAATTAATCACTCTTGAGAAAACATTCACTACACATACACTACACTCACTGCTCGACCGGTAAGAAAGATTACTTGAAATATTTTGTGACTCTAAATTAGAAGCCATGCCTTACAGTCTTCACTAGAACTAGTTGGGAATTATAGGGCTACAAGAAAATATGTTCCCTAAACAAATATTAAAAGCGGCAATAACTATATGTTCCGAAAGTAAGTTAAACATTCTTCAGGCTTTATTTAAGACAATTTTTAAGGATGCTTTTGTAAGCATGTGTATACGAATAAACATAAAAATATATATCTCTTTCAGTGTAGGGTAATCAATTTCTTAACAAGAATTTTATATTGTATTTTAAATATTTTTTATGAATAAATATTTCAAAATTTATATTTTGCAGGCAAAATTGTGAGATTTTTCGGTTTGAATTACCAGCCGGACAGGAATTTCAAAAGATCGTTTGGTTTTCGGTAGCAACCTGCTGCTGATTATGATCGCCTGGTAATTCAATCCGAAAAATCTACAATTTGCCATAAATATTTACACTTTGTGGGCAAACTTGAAAGATTTTTCGGTTTGAATTACCAGGCGAACAGGAATTCCAGAAGGTGACCAACGATCGTTTGGTTTTCGGTAGCAACTTGCTGCTGATTATGATCGCCTGGTAATTCAGTCCGAAAAATCTACAATTTGCCAAAAAAAAAATTAACATTTTGTAGGCAAAATTGTGAGATTTTTCGGTTTAAATTATTAGGCGATCAAATTTTCAAACACTTGTATAAATAATACTTGCCTGGTTATTTGTTCAAGAGGGATGCCAATGTGATCTTGCAAGTAATCCAGAACGCATACACTACTACACATACACTACATTCACTGCTCGACCGGTAAGAAAGATGACTTGGAATATTTTGTGACTCTAAATTAGAAGACATGCCTTACAGCCCTCACGAGAACCAGTTGGGAATTATTGGGCTATGGACACGAAAAATCTACAATTTGCAAAAAAAATATTTACACTTTGTGGGCAAAATTGAAAGATTTATCGGTTTGAATTACCAGGCGAACAGGAATTCCAGAAGGTGACCAACGATCGTTTGGTTTTCGGTAGCAACTTGCTGCTGATTACGATCGCCTGGTAATTCAATCCGAAAATTTTACAATTTGCCATAAATATTTACATTTTGTAGGCAAAATTGTGAAATTTTTCGTTTTAAATTACCAGGCGAACAGGAATTCCAGAAGGTGGCCGACGATCGTTTGGTTTTCGGTAGCAACCTGATGCTGATTATGACCAAACATACATACATACATGCATGCATACATACATACATACATACATACATACATACATACATACATACATACATACATACATACATACATACATGCCCACAAAGTGTAAATATTTATTGCAAATTGTAGATTTTTCCGATTGAATTACCAGGCGATCATAATCAGCAGCAGGTTGCTACCGCAAACCAAACGATCGTTGGTCACCTTCTGGAATTCCTGTGCGCCTGGTAATTCAAACCGAAAAATCTACAATTTACCATAAATATTTACATTTTATGGGCATGTATGTATGTATATATGTATGTATGTATGTATGTATGTATGTATGTATGCATGTATGTATGTATGTATGTATGTATGTATGTATGCATGTATGTATGTATGTATGTATGTATGTATGTATGTATGTATGTTTGGTCATAATCATCATCAGGTTGCTACCGAAAACCAAACGATCGTCGGCCACCTTCTGGAATTCCTGTTCGCCTGGTAATTTAAAACGAAAAATTTCACAATTTTGCCTACAAAATGTAAATATTTATGGCAAATTGTAAAATTTTCGGATTGAATTACCAGGCGATCGTAATCAGCAGCAAGTTGCTACCGAAAACCAAACGATCGTTGGTCACCTTCTGGAATTCCTGTTCGCCTGGTAATTTAAACCGAAAAATCTCACAAATACATACATACATACATACATACATACATACATACATACATACATACATACATACATACATACATACATACATACATACATACATACATACATACATACATACATACATACATACATACATACATACATACATACATACATACATACATACATACATACATACATACATACATACATACATACATACATACATACATACATACATACATACATACATACATACATACATACATACATACATACATACATACATACATACATACATACATACATACATACATACATACATACATGCCCACAAAGTGTAAATATTTATTGCAAATTGTAGATTTTTCGGATTGAATTACCAGGCGATCATAATCAGCAGCAGGTTGCTACCGAAAACCAAACGATCGTTGGTCACCTTCTGGAATTCCTGTGCGCCTGGTAATTCAAATCGAAAAATCTACAATTTACCATAAATATTTACATTTTATGGGCATGTATGTATGTATATATGTATGTATGTATGTATGTATGTATGTATGTATGTATGTATGTATGTATGTATGTATGTATGTATGTATGTATGTATGTATATATGTATGTATGTATGTATGTAATGTTATAAAACATATAAAACATATAATTACATACATACCCAAAAGCAAACGATCGTTGGTCACCTTCTGGAATTCCTGTTCGCCTGGTAATTCAAACCGAAAAATCTTTCAATTTTGCCCACAAAGTGTAAATATTTTTTTTTGCAAATTGTAGATTTTTCGTTTCCATAGCCCTATAATTCCCAACTGGTTCTCGTGAGGGCTGTAAGGCATGTCTTCTAATTTAGAGTCACAAAATATTCCAAGTCATCTTTCTTACCGGTCGAGCAGTGAATATAGTGTATGTGTAGTAGTGTATGCGTTCTGGATTACTTGCAAGATCACATTGGCATCCCTCTTGAACAAATAACCAGGCAAGTATTATTTATACAAGTGTTTGAAAATTTGATCGCCTAATAATTTAAACCGAAAAATCTCACAATTTTTCCTACAAAATGTTAATTTTTTTTTTGGCAAATTGTAGATTTTTCGGACTGAATTACCAGGCGATCATAATCAGCAGCAAGTTGCTACCGAAAACCAAACGATCGTTGGTCACCTTCTGGAATTCCTGTTCGCCTGGTAATTCAAACCGAAAAATCTTTCAAGTTTGCCCACAAAGTGTAAATATTTATGGCAAATTGTAGATTTTTTTTTGATTGAATTACCAGGCGATCATAATCAGCAGCAAGTTGCTACCGAAAACTAAACGATCGTTGGTCACCTTCTGGAATTCCCTGTTCGCCTGGTAATTGAAACCGAAAAATCTTTCAATTTTGCCCACAAAGTGTAAATATTTTTTTTTTTGCAAATTGTAGATTTTTCGTGTCCTATAGCCCTATAATTCCCAACTAGTTCTAGTGAAGACTGTAAGGCATGTCTTCTAATTTAGAGTCACATTTACAAAATATTCCAAGTAATCTTTCTTACCGGTCGAGCAGTGAGTGCAGTGTATGTAGTAGAGTATGTGTTCTTAAGTGTGATTACTTGCAAGATCACATCGGCATCCCTCTTGAACAAATAACCAGGCAAATGTTATTCATACGAGTGTTTGAAAAGTTTTAATATTTATTTTAAAATATTTATTCATAAAAAATATTTAAAATACAATATAAAATTCTTGTTAAGAAATTGATTACCCTACTATGAAAGAGATATATATTTATATGTTTATTCGTATACAAAAAGCTACTAGATAAATCTCGAGCTGTATGTAATTAAATGACTACTCTATTATTTTGTCGTAATTATATTAGTGAGTGAGATAGTGAGGTCTTTAAAGTGAGTAGCTTTTAATAGTATCTGTGCAGCTGTCTGATTTGTCATCTTGATTATAAAAGATAATGAAATTTAAATAATACGAGGAAATTACTGCTGAATAATTGTTTAATTTAAAATTTATTTAATGTAATTTATTGAAATTATCGAATGTCATCTTAGTAAAACATATTTTTATTGCACCCATTGTTAAATATATTTTATTATTATCACAGAATATTTTTTATCTATTATATAAATATTCGTAAGCCAGAATATTCAGAATATGGGCTATATATGAAGACAGACGGAGATGCCCGAGAAAGGGCATCTGATAGTCGAGACATGCACTAAGACTTTCCTACTTCTTTTATTTTTAGTAATGCAGTTTTGCCAATTTTTGTTTTTCAAGTTGTTTTCCATCTAATTAATTATAGTTTATCCACCCAAAAACTAAAATTTGCATACGTTTATCATACAAGTACACCCAGATTTGTGTAATTAGTAGACCAAATAGTAAACATCACCGCCAACAACCACATTTTTTCATTTATAATATAGTTCGAGAGAGGCAGACTATACAAGTTATAATTAAGAATTAAGAATATATGGTCAGGTTCAGTTATTTTGTGCTCCGAATTAGTGGGCCCTGTAAGCGCTGGGCAGATGACGACATTCGCGCCGACCGATGTGTCTCAAAACTGCAAGTAAGCAATGATATCATTCGTGATACTGTTTTAGATAAGATTATATCCAACCTGGCTTAAGTTCATTGCGCCGCAGGCAGTTTAGAATGGCCAGTGCGCAGGAGTTCTCCACCTTATAGCAGATATGTCCATCTGTGGCATAGGTTGGACTATGAACCCTGGGGCAGTGGATGGTGGCGTGGCAGTTGCGATGATGATGCAGGTGATGAACACCGTGAGTTCCTTGAATTCCGTGATATGGTGCCTCCAGATGGTTGTGGTGATAGGGGGATCCGTGGATGAGATGCCGATGATCGGATCCGTGAATTCCATAAACTGGTGCCTCGAGTTGTTGCTGAGGATGTGAGCCATAATAGTGATGATGGGGGGATCCGTGCATGGGAGGATGCGATTCTGACAACTGATGATGATCGTGGGACTCAGATAGATAATGGTGCGATTCTAGGTGATGATGGGGTCCATGCTCGTGATGGTGCGATTGAGATTGGCAAAGATGATGGTGTCCTACTTCTGCAGACAATGGCTCGTGATGAAGGGAAGGATGCACTGAAGCATCTTCGACTGGCAGGTATCCTTCCTGGGGAACCTCCACTTCTGGCCCAATTATATCCGATCCGTGCAGAATGGACCCTTGGGCAAGGACCATCCAAGCACTCAGCAGAACAACGAAATCCAGAGCCATATTTGCTTGCTTAAATTGCAATTGTTTCGTTACTCGTGAGCCAACTGATGCTGATTCACACTAACCTTTGCTGTTTTATACCCGAAGCACAGTAGAAGACGAGTCCAATAATTTAAACTTAATAAGAATCCCATTTTAATTAGAAATTAATTAAAAGATAAGCTCCGCAATAGCACACCGCAATAGCACACCGCAATAGCACAGCTGGTAAGCAGCTAATTAAATAATACAAATACTCCAACGCAGGGCATAAATCACTACCTCATGGTATGTGCAGGCTAGGAAGGTTAACCCGAGCGATTCCATAATCCAGTTATTCGCAATACCTAGAGCTCTGAACTCCGAACTCTACCCTCAGGTATGTCATCCCGAATTGACTGAACCCAATCACATGTTTACAAACGCATCCTTAAAAATTTTCTTAAATAAAGCCTGAAGAATGTTTAACTTACTGTCGGAACACATAGTTATTCCCGCTTTTCATATTTGCTTAGGAAACATATTTTCTTGTAGCCCTATAATTCCCAACTAGTTCTAGTGAGGACTGTAAGGCATGTCTTCTAATTTAGAGTCACAATTACAAAATATTCCAAGTAATCTTTCTTACCGGTCGAGCAGTGAGTGCAGTGTATGTAGTAGAGTATGTGTTCTTAAGTGTGATTACTTGCAAGATCACATCGGCATCCCTCTTGAACAAATAACCAGGCAAATGTTATTCATACGAGTGTTTGAAATGTTTTAATATTTATTTTTAAATATTTATTCATAAAAAGTATTTAAAATACAATTTAAAATTCTTGTTAGGAAATTGATTACCCTACACTGAAGGAGATATATTTTTTTAGGTTTATTCGTATACAAAGTGCTACTAGATTCATCTCGCGCTGTAAGCAATTAAATAACTACTCTATTATTTTGTCATAATTATAAAGTGAGTAGCTTTTATTAGTATCTCTGCAGTTGACAACAGAATTATTCGCAGAGTGCTGTTGAATGAGCCAATTAAAAGAACAAGTTAGAGAGGACGCTGTAGTCAAGTGTTTCACTATCGGATACCACTAGTTAGCTAGTGGACTCCCACTTGGCTCAGTAATATCACTTGTTGGCATTCCGATAAAAATTGGCAACGAAAATAAGGAAATTTAAAAAAATCAAAACACTTTTTAATATTGTGCCGTGAAAGTTTTGTGCAATTTGGTGGGCGTTATGGTAACCGTGGCTTTTGAAACAAGCTTGCTAAAGATATTGCTCAGATCGCGGGTTCTTTTGTAGTTCATTTAAATCAGATAAGGTCAATAAGTTGAGGTTAGCTCGTTGATAAATTTGTATTTGAATTACGTGTACCGTCACTCAATAGTAGTACATATCGACAAAAACAAAATAATTTCATTAATTTGCAGCTATACATAAAAATTAAATTTTGCTCTTCATAGGCAGTCAGTAGATAACAAAAAAAAATAATGAAATAAAACCGTACAAACACCAACGAACAAGTCATGTGGTCAACAGAAGTGGATAATTTTACTTAATTATCGTGTTATCTAATTTTACATTTTATATTAAATAGTAATCGGCTAGGAGTTACCCTTTGTTACCTTACATTTCTTTAAAAAGTATTAAAAATATTTATAACATAAAACAACAGAAGACACTCCAATAATAGGATAAATGATATTTTTATAAAGCAATAATATATACATTTTTCATATACCCCAAAGAAAATATAAATTATACGGAATTAATTTTTTAAATATTATATTAAAATAATATTAAATATGATTAAAAAAGTTGCGATTCATTTGCTTGCTTTTTGCTATAAATTTCCTCTAAACTGGTTATAACTCGCTACATTTCTACGTGAATTCACTGGCTGTTTGTTCCGCAAACGCGATTTTAATATTTGCCTTCATGCCTGAAGCTCCAAATAGAAAAAAACATCTAATAGTTATATATTTATGGAGGTGTAAAGTTCAGTTATTTCCGTTCACGTTTAAAGCATTCTGCGTGGCTTACAAAAAAGCTGTAAAATTGTATAAAGAAAAAAGGTAAGCAGCAATACTAAAACACGTAATTTAACTTACTTTGGCCAGTGCGACAGGTGTAAGCTCGCTTTTCACACTCGTTGCCAAAGTTTAGGACTTTTCCGTTGTAAATCCCACTTGTTGGCTGGTAGACAGCAGTACAAATGTCGGGGCAATGCCTCTGACACTCCCTCTTTGTCGTTATGGTCAAGGCTTTTGAATAGTTGTATCGTTTCATTTATTCTTAATAAATAATACGAAGATATGTGAAATAATGCTTACCTGGCTTTCGATGGCAGTTCTCCTTGTCGAAATAGCATTTATTCCGGAAGACACTGCAACCTCCTCCAAGAGCCCAAACAACTTCCTCCGTGTCGGGACATTTTCCTGAGCAGTTACCACTAACTAGGCTTAAAGCCACACACAGCAAAATGCAAATATAGAAGAAGAACTTCATGTTTAAAAGCCGCGAAGTTTTGGGATGAACTGAGCAGATTGTGTGCTTCCTCCACTTATATATGTTTTTGTTAGCTTGGAGGCACGTCTTCGGAAACTTTTATCGGCTTTAATTTATTCAAAGAGCAAAAACTGCCAGATGTGTGGGGGTTTTTTGATTGTTTATTGTTTATGATATATCATACGTAAATAACACCTTTTAAATACCCTTGTGATCGCCCATTGGTTGCTATTACTTTCATTAAATTAAAAATAAAAATGGTATTTCAAAAATGTTTAATTTTCATCGGAGTACAGCAAGCGCAAATCTCGCAACTCGCGCTTAAATTCTACTTTTTATTTGAGTTCTTAGTTGAGGACGTTCATTTAATAACTATATATCCCTACAAAAAGGCTGTAAGTATGGAAACTATTAATCTGAGAACACCTATTTCTAAGGGAATTACTTACTTTCGCCAGTCCGACAGGTGTGAACAAGCTTCTCGCACTCATTGCTGAATTTTCGCAGCTGACCCTTATAAATTCCACCTGTGGGCTGGTAAACTGCACCACAAATATCGGCGCATTGTTTTTGGCACTCCTCCTTAGTGGTGATGGTCAACTCTAAAAAATTTGTTCAGTAATTAAAGATCAAGTTATATTCCTCAAAATATATTCGCACCATAGTTTGGTTGACAGTTAGCCTTGTCGAAGTAACATTTGTTGCGGAAAACATTGCATCCGCCTCCAAGAGCCCACACGACATCCTCCGTATCGGGACAGCTTTCCGGACAACTAGCACCAACTTGGCTTAAAGCCAGACCGAGCAGCAGGCTCAGAGACAAACTCGACTTCATCTTGAATATATTTCTATAACTGACTACTGCACAGCGTGAGTCGCTTTTATACTATCAGCTAGGGGTATTCTAGGAACTGAGAGGTCTTTTTCAGAGTGAGTGTATGCAAGCCAGATGTTGGTGATTTTTCTATATTATTTGTATACAATACGTGACTCACACGTATATGTGGATTTGAAATGAATAGAATAAGAGAACCCATATACGACATATAAATGATTATCATCAGAGTTTATTGGACTCTCACGCTATTAACCTTATAACGATACAATACATTTAATTATATCATTGTTGTAAAATAATAAACTATAAATTTTAGCTTGCTTTAAAAAAAGGGATCAAAGGCAGTTAGTGATATCTTTTACATGACTTTAAATCTTCTAAATGTGAATAAAAGAAATAAACAATTTAAAGCTAACTTCTGAAAATATTTATGTCCCCGTAAAATATATTTAAAAGTAGAATATATTTAAAGTTTGTTTACAGACATAGCGTGTATATCTTCCAGTAGGGAATAACCTTAGCTAATCGAAATATACCAAACCTGAACGTGGGTTGGTCAGCTGTTTTTTCCACTAACTGGTTTATCTGTGTTTCCCCACTGTAACCAACTCGCGTGATTTCTCTACGTCACCGTTTCACGTCCGAGCTTTGTAATTAAATAGATCAAATAGATAGATCTACACTTAGAAATACGTGCTGTTTAGGCCGCTGGGGCAAAGCCAATTTGCCGTTGACCCGCATCAAAGGCTGTGTAATATCGGCCGATGAAAACGTCTCCCAGAATCCAAAACTCCGCATCCATCAAGGTAAAAGCAGATAGGCAAATTCTGGAACCATCGTCGTTTGTAACACTCATTACATAATCTCTGGGCTGCAAGCCAAATCGCCGACCTCCAATGATGAACACAATTTCGGGCAAACTATCGATTTCAGAACAGTTGAGCAAATATTCGTTGTTTGAGGTGGGCAAGCCGCCAAGAAGGCTATTAATTATTAGGTATTCCCTGGGAGGAGCTGCCAAAAGAGATGTGCCCGTATCCGCGATGGCCTGTCGATGCCGACTGATTGTAGTACCGCCCAGTTCAATGCCATCCAATGGGAACTGCCAATAGCCCGCATGAGTGAGGGGCACGTAGGTGAGGGAACCCGAAAACTTCGTCTTATCGACCCCACCGAAAAGTAGTTCTCCACCCATTCTTTCACTGCCATTCCGCTTCAGATAAAACGAGAAAACACACTCATCCACCAGCTGCTGATCACACATGCTCTCGAACAAGGGCTTGATTCTCTGCTCAGCAATTGGCCGGAAGCCCAGACCCACGATCCCTGCAAAATTGGTATCCACAAAAGTGGGACCCGGCTCGTGTGTGGCCATGGCAAAGGTTTGATTCCGCACCACCAGTTGGCCAATGGCAACCGTATCCTGGGCCAGAATCCCCGATAGACTTCCAGTTCCGTAGGCAATGGAAAACCTCCGGCCATCCGGAACAAAAGTACTCGAGGCACTGGCGTTATAGCGATGATGATGGTGACAGGCCACACTCTTAAGCGAACACTCGGCGCTTGGCACCCACAGATTGGCAGATCCGGTGTCAAACAGCATATTGAAGGGCTGACCCGGCGATCCAATGCTAATGGGTCCGGCGTACTCCAAGTTCAATCGGTTATCCAGCGTTTCTGTGGCTCCACCATTCCTTGACGTTACCTCCTGTCCCCCAACCACATTGTACTTGGCCAAGAGGGATGATCTACCGGCACGGTGTTGGCGGCGACTGGCCATGAAAGAGGCCTGAAATTGCATGGGAATGCGGATCAGTTGGCCCTGGCATTTCGCCCAAAACAGGCACAAGACCCACAGGGACAACCACAGCGAAATGAGGCAGTGCATCACTGGCCCGCTCGACCAGGCAAATTTAAATCGATCCGAACCGTTTGTAAAGCCCGTTCCAACTAATTGACAGAGATTCTGGCCGCGATTGTTTTATAGCACCTGCAAATGGAGCACTTTAATGGCCAAATTCGTCTGGCATTCAAATGGAATTGGTTAATGTGGTGGTTGAACGCACTTCAATGTTTGCGTAAGGTAGAGATAAATAGGGCGAGTACATTAATTGGAATAAACAAAGCCATTGGCAATTACTTAATTAAATTGTGCGAACAGTGGTACGTCGACATGGACTTTCGCTTTAATAACAAACAATTAGGAGATTCAAAATTTCCCAGCGCGCTTAGTTTTATTTTAGATAGAAATAATATTAATAGACTTATTATTATGAAGCATTTGTTAGACCTTTTTAATATAACTCCAAATACAAAAGGTTAAAAAATAATATAAAACCTTATTCGAATATCCATAAATAATATAAACACTTTAAATACTTCACTTGGCTTTGGCCAATCCGATCCTCTTTTCTGTGGCATCGAAAACCGTATAGTATAGGCGCAGAAAGATATCGCCCAGCACCCAAAATCCCCTGTTAATTGGAGCAATGGCCAACACACAGACTGGTTTACGATCCAATATAATTTCCATTAAATAATTGCTCGGTGTTAGGGGAAATACCGTGTCTCCGATGAGAATATTAATGTTTGGCAGGGATCCACTTCTGCAAGTCACCACAAAATAACCATTTTGTTGCCTAGCTGATAGGGTATTCAGCAAGTTGTGGTATGTTTGTTGGGGCACCAGGACCAGCGATGTTCCTGTGTCCAAGATGGCATTACTTCTACCGCCGATTTGTTTTGATGCCACTGTAGTTTTGGCTATTTCAAGACTCCAAGTACGCCATTGGCTGACTGGCACATAGTGCAGTTTTCCTTCAAATTTGGTTTCGTCAAAACCACCGAAGACTATCTCCCGCGGATCTCGACGGATGTACACCGAAAATACACATTTCTCAACCAATCGTTTGGTGCACAGGAGTTCCAAAAATGGTGTCGTATTGGACCAGGACAAGACACCCAGACCCAAGCCCACTAGTCCATCAAATTTTACGGAACTAAAGGCAAAGTGTTGTAGGAATAGACTTTCTCCGAATGTGAGACTGGGTAACTCAGCTCCAGCAACGTGCATGGTGTCCTTTGATAGATAACCAACCACCCTTCCCGATCCATATCGCAGGGTGAAGTTTCTTCCATCAGGAATATAACTACTTGATCGAGAAGAGTTATACTTGCGGTGATTTTGACAAGCTGAATTACTCTTCGGGCAGTTCACAGAGGGTAGCCACGTATTCGAAGATCCCGTGTCGAAGATCACACTGAAGTTTTGCCTGGGGTTTCCCATAGATATGGTGCCATAATATTCCATATTGTTGTGTGACTGCAGCAGCAGCTGAAGTGTTTCACTTCCTTTGGCTGAATTTCCCGCCAGGAACACATCACTTCCATTGAAGTTTCTCCTACTGTAAAGCGGTACCTTAAGAATTTTTCTAGTTGCAAGGATTAAACTTTGACACGCGAGCAAGAAAAACAACACCCGAAGCATCTTCTGTGAAATTACTTGCTGAACTGAAAATATTACTCTTAAACTTTAACGTTTCAATTGGAATTGCGCACACGTAACTTCGCAGCTGCTTGGGGTAATTAACTCGGTAAATTAGAAGGCCCAAAAGCTTTTCAATGGATCTGCAGCCTAGACTGCTTTCAATATATGAACAAGTTATATATACATACGTTAGCAAAATGATTTACAAGATTTAGCATACTAAATTTAAAGTTTAAGGTATGTTTTGAAAGTATGTTGTAAGTACGAGCAAGATCAGCTGCATTATAAGTAACGCAGATTAGTCTAAGTGGCAGACGTAGTGGCAGCGAATCCGATGCGATTGTTGGCCAAGTCGAATTCCGTGCAGAAATGCCGGATAAAGGCATCGCCCAGGATCACTGGTTCGCCGGGCATTTCAGTTACCGCCGATATGCAGACTGTCTTGCCTCTCTTGGTCCTCACCTTTAGTTTCATCTTGTTTCCCTTGACCACCAACTTCTTGCCCGCAACGACAAAGGCGAAGTCGGGTATTTTCTTGGCGCACTTCATCCAACACTCTCCGCTGGAGGTCGCAGTGCATCCGATGATCTCGTTGATCTTATTGTAGATGGCCGTCGGAGCTGTGATCAGCGAAGTTCCGGAATCCACAATGGCCTGCGCAGAGCCAGCCACTTTGGTGCTGCCCACGTAAATGTCCTGCAGTGTGAACTGCCAGTAACCCTGTTTGGTCACCGGAGTGTAAGTGTAGCTATTGGATCCGCTATACGCACTGGTGGAGGAGCTGCCAAACATGAGGGCACCACCTCGCGAGGAAGTGCCGCCACCCTTCATGCAAATGGCAAACTTACAACTGCTGATCACATCCTCGGAGCACATGTTCTGCACCAGGGTCTTGACATTGTCTACCGCTATGGATTGATATCCCAGTCCTAGTATACCATCGAACTTGGATGTCACGAAAAGACTTCCCGGTTCCTTGGTAGTCATGGCGAAAGTCTGATTGGGGACAGCCAGCCCAGCTATTCCCACCGTGTCCTTGGCCAGAACTCCAGTCACACTACCCGAGCCATAGGTGATGGCAAAGGATTTCCCATTCCTAGCATAGGTACTAGACTTGGCCGGACGATATTTCTTGTGATTCTGGCAGCCCTCACTTTTGCAATGCGGTCCTGGCACCCAAATATTCGAGCTCCCAGTGTCCGGGATCACTGTGAACATCTGCTTCGGTGTGCCAATATTCATTTTGCAGGTATACTGCATATTCCCATGGTTTGCTAAAGTAGCAGCTCCAGAAGTCGTGGCAAAACTAAAGCCATATCGATTGGCCAAAAAGACCTTCTCCGATCGCAGATGGTCGGTGGTTCGCACGAAATTCGGTTGGAAATCCAATGGTAACGCAGCGTAAGTTGAACCACTACTGACGTTCGGCTCAGTTTTGGCCTTAGTTTCCCGATTTGACTTTATAGCCAAGTTACGTCTCCTCCTGCTTCTCTTGGCCGCATTCAATCTGCGTTTCCTTTGATTCCTGGCTCGCACAGCCAATCTTCTTCCTTGACGAGCACTTCTGAGCTCGATCCTGTGTCCACTTCTGACTGCCAATGATCTTCTATAAGCGGAATGATTAACTCTCCTCTGTCTGGCCTCGGTCAAAATTACAAAGAGGCATATTATTGCACACAGCACCAAAATCCTGCACCGCATTCTTTGAGTTTTGTTCGAGAAAGGTTAGTTGATACTAACCCTAATAATTCGGGTGTTATGGGTTTTATAGAGGGGCGTATACTGCGAAATTTGTTAGCCAAGGTTACTGGTGAAACCAGCTGTGGGAATGTCTGGATTTTCTCAAAAAGCGTAGGAATAACAGCAAATAGCAACATGTACAATGCCAGTTAAGCCTAAAATTAGAACGTACGCTACCTATTGTCTCCGTACATAAATATGATAAAATATCATAAATATGATAATATCTCAACAAAAATTGTAACTGAAAGAATTAAGAAAACCTCTTTCCAACACAAAAAATTAAACGGCAACTAAACTTTTAAAAAATAGTGAATTTAATAAATTAATAAACACTGCTAAATTCAAGTCACAGCCATTTACCATAGAAAAAATAAAACAATGCAAAGACATTAATTACAGTGTAGAGCCACAAATACGCAAAACATATTTTGTACAGCGAAAGGCGTCATTTCGGTTAACAAACTAACGCCTATAAAAGTCTATAAAAGAATTTGTTTACTTTCGAAATTTATTTTTAGCTCAGCGGTACTGACTACAGGTGGGAGAACTTTTTTCGCATTTTTCCTCATTTTGTTTGCACCAATCTGCAGATAGGCGTTTTAAATAAATGTTAATATGACGTAAGAATATATATCAGGTACTCACTTATTCCACGACGACAGGTGCTGACACCTACTTGGCAGCTATTGCTGAATAAGCATCGAACCAATTTTCCATTGATCGTAGCTTCTACACAGACAGGACTGTAAACTGCAGGACAGATTTCAGGACATCCCGACGTGGTTTGTGCAGCTATCTGAGTTGAGATAAGAAGCACACCGAAAATAACAAAAAACGACTTCATTTTTGGAGAAATGTGAGAGTCAGTCTGACTGATCGTTACAACGTGATGAGCTTTTATAAGCATTTAGATATATATTGATATAGAACTGGTTCTGATTACAGCTGTTAAACTCAATGAACATTTAATAGTGTTCAGATAAATACAGTTCAACCCGTTTTTGTATGGGATCAGCTATTAATTACCTATGCAATCCGAAAAATATTTTACACCCACCTCTCATATTGCTGAACTAGCTAACCGCTAACCGTCTTAACCTTCACTCACTCTGGAATCACTTTAAATGGCAGTATAGCCTGAATGGAAAACGTGCCGGCCAGACTAACAATTATATGTTTGAATTTCAATTTACTGCGATCAGTTTCCAGCACAAATCGATTCGGTTTGACCACCACTTGAACTCCCTAAAGAGCTCACTGCAGCTCCAATCGAAAGTCGGTCATGCCGGCTGTGTGGGTGTGGATGCTCTGGGCGGTCATGAATCTGACACTCGGTGAGTCCATTGGTGACCAGGCGGATAATGAGGTGTCGCAACAAATTCCAGAATACTACAGAAGGGCCCAGCCGAAGTCCCGCAGATCTTCATGTAAAAAATGCTATCCCTATTTGTACCCTAAAGACAAATACTACGTGCTGCCTAAGAGAACGGCAGAAAAAAGGCGTCATAACGTCGTCTTTCTTGTAAAAGACCTTAAAACGGGAAGACCAGTCAAAGTGGCCTTTAGAAATGGCCTTAAAAACAGTAGAAATGTTCGTGTTCTAAAGGCTTTTAATAACAACAAAAACCCATGCAGTGCAAAACGTGGCAGATGTGTATATCGCCTGTTCAACCGAAAAACTTTTCGTACGTACAAAGCGGACTTCAGGACGGGCAAAAGGAATGGAAGGCGCGTTTCTGTATTGAAGCTAATCCCCTAACCACAGACCTGAAATAAAATATTTAGAATTTAACAAAAATTAGCAACTATTAATTCAATTATTATTTCAGAAGGCTGTCCTGACTTGAAAAGGCTACAAATACTTTGTGTCACATTTTCGAAAATAAAAGACGTAAGATCTTGAGCACTTTTCTGAGCCATTTTCAAAGTGACTTTCTCGGTGCCACAATAAAGCTAAAGTTATGGCACTCAGAGCTCCCATTCACTTGGCTGCGACCTGTCGACTGTCATGTCTTTTCGACCGGACCGGGCCAAATCGAAGTTGGCCGACGGGTGGGCGGCGAAGTTGGCCAACGAGATACGCACGCGGTGTCGCCAAGCTGACAGACTCAAAGATTTATTGCACATGGGGCTCAGAGATTTGCTTGCTGCCTTTTTTCGGCCGAATTAATACACCTTCACGAGACCAAGTCAATCAAAACGCGTAAAATCGCGCGTGCGTTCGTTTTACTTTCTCATTAAAAGTAGTAGAGCAGGGATGACTTTTTTAAAGACGGTTGTTACACTGCTGATGAGCTACTATTTCATATTTAACCATTTAATATTTACGCGTGGATTTCAAGCGCTCTTTGGCCTTATGCGCTAACTATTCATAATTGCAACTTAAGGAACTTAATGAACAATTATAGATTATTTAGATCGAGTTTAGTTTTTTCATTTGCTTTAATTTGATTGCTGTTTAATTTAACAGGTGGCATAAGTGCATGTTATTCCCAGCTGATTATACATCGATTAAAAGGTTGAGATCGGAATCGAAACACTTGAATTAAACATCCCAAATATAAATAAATAAGAACCCTACGGAAACCGTTTCAGTCGCCTGTTTTCATCATTGCCAACATGTTCGTCAACCGCTCCTTACTTTTTGTTCTCTTGGGTTGTATTATTCATCTCAATGAAGCTCAGACCACAAATTGCTCGAATTCGTGTATGTTGCGAGCCAAATGCAATCCCTACTATAAGGATCTGGTCTGGTCAGTAGTGGATCGCGTTTGTCGCGTCTTTCAGAACGGTTGCATCTTTGCCAATGAAAATTGTTTGCGAGCCAATAGCTGCTTGCCACGTAAGTTAATCTGAAATATAATTCCAAATTAAGTGGTTCAAGGGCTATAACTTGATTACCCCCATAGCCATGGTAGCCACTACAAAGGAGGAGTGTACGAAGGAGATCTTCTGTCCAAGGTGGTGTTCTCGAGGAGGACCGCCGGTCTGTGCATGGTTTCCCTATACAGACAGTAATGGGAATACCGGAGGTCGAGACATGGAGTTCGGAAGTCGCTGTCTACTAGATATGTATGCCTGCCGAAATGCACAAGGTGAGTTCATTTTCATAACATTCTAGAGCTTATACCATTTTGAGTACTTGCAGCCTATGTCAACGAACCCCGAATTGGATCATGCACATAAAATGTTAAATTAAATGAACATTTACCAATAAATGCGAGCTAAATTATATGATTTTTTATTTATACAAGTGTTTTTTTATCGCACCACTTGAATTCACAACAACTTATTGGTCTAGAAAACAAGTTCATAATAATCTTTTAATACGCTTACAAATATTGTTTATGCATACAAAAAATTTTAAATAAATAAAGGAGATCGTCTTTAATCAGCTGAGTGCACAAAAACTTGATTGCCCAGGTGAATGTTTATTTTGTGAAGATATATGACTTTGAAATCTGGCACATGATGATAATAGCTCATTATAATTATGGATGTTATTAAGCTTTCTCCGCCGTTCGTTTTTATTTTTTTTAAATTTTCAAATTTGAGCTTAGCTCAAATCAGAGATTTTTCTAGAGTGTGAACTTTACATTTTCGATTGCGATAATTATGGGCTCATTGACTTTATTATTTGTTCCATCCTCTCGGAAAAGTAGCAATACTCATTGTTCAAGTCGTTGTCCTATTAAAGGATAAAAAGTTTGTGGCTCATTATTCCACCAGAAGATTAATAAAGTTACAATAGATAGCAAGATGACGTCCTTACCCGCTTTAACATTTAAAAATGCCAATAAATATAAGTAAATACCCTCTTGTATGTTAAATTGAGACGCCCGAAAAGTTGACATTTATTATTCATTTTTAAAAAAAGCCTAGAAGTGCACCATATTATATTGTTTTGTATATAATCTTATTACTTTTTTTTAAGAATTGCCATGTACCTTAGCATTATTAACAGAAACACGTGCAAAAAGTGCACATCTGCCTATGGAATCGAATCCTTTGTTCAAGCGACATATGGATTTCGAATCGAGTTCATTGGCTGGCCTATTTTTGGTCAGATATAAAACTAATTTCAATCAGCAGCTGGAGACACTTTAGCAGCCCTCTCTCCAACATGAAGTTGATCATCCTGGTAGTCTTTTTTGCTTTTCTTGGACTGGCGGAATCGGAGAACTGTAACAAAGATTGCTTGAGAAGCGGAATTAGCTATCTTTGCGGGAAAACTGTGAGAAATGGCAGGGAAATTCGCTGCACCTACAAGAATCCCTGCGAAATGGATCTGCATGCCTGCCAAAAACGGGAACGTAAGAAAACAGGAAAACTGCCATGAATACATATATAAAATTATTTAAAAAATATTTCACCAGAGTGGAAGAAAGATACAACAGGTCGATGCACACGCGACTCAGAGGAATGCAGACGGTAGGGGGAAAATTACCAGGCGCAGGAGAAGCAGCTGAATATTTTTAAGCAATATATAAATATTGACACAATTGACAAGGCGAAATATAAGAAGTACAATTTTTGGACAGCCTCTGAAAAATTTTTTGGAATTAAATTTCAATACGAGAGTGGCAAAAAGCGCGAACGGTTGGATAGTAAAAATGCAAATTGTATGCACGTTGGGCAACAAAATATTTCTCATTTGTGTGCTTCTGGGCATCTTTACAATAGTTGGCGGCCACATTTTTACTTTGAGTGGTAAGTCTGGATCTACATATTCCGAGCTATTTTTGTAGACCATTTGCCCAAGTAGTTCACAAAAAGTGCCATGATGTGTGTCCAATGGGCTATCGTGTTGTTTGTGCCCTGGACGTCCTAGATGGCTGCCTAAGAACGTTCGCCAGCAGTTGTGTGATGCGAATGTACAACTGCAAGTACCAGAAGGGTAAGTCCGAGAAACTGGAGTCATATACCATAGTTGTAAAATGCTAGGTGGCTTCTATTTATCATTTATTTACTATTTATCACACCTCTAAAACTACTCTATTAAACACAGCATTTCAGGACTTTTGAACTATTACGCAAAGCAATTAAGCATCAGTCATTTATTTTGACGAAAACTCTTTTAACCCTTTTTATTTATCCCTCACGCAGATTATCGCATAATTGCGGAGAGGGCCTGTGAATTCATCAGCAACGACGAACTTCTAGGGATGGACATCTAGGGGCCAAATATGAAAGCGGTTGGCTGCTGTTGTCTGCCGCCAGAGGGCGCCAGCTGGATACGGCGCACGCGTCGTATACGCGATGTAAGGCGGAGGGAATTGCGCGTGGATGCGACGGGCAGGATATATACCAGCAGCCACCAGTGGTGTATTTATGTGTAACTCTTAACTCTCTAGGCACGCGTCACGTCACCTCCGCGAACGAAAATCGCCAGTTTTCCTCCGTTATATTCCCGGAAAATCCATCCTTTTTGTACGACATCGTTACTGTTTTAAATCGCACGAATAAATTATTATAAATTGTAGCTTAAGTGTTAACGCCTAGGCCGAGCGTGTTTTGTGGCAGTGATATTCAACCGAAAGCAGTTGCGAAAAGTGAAAAGTCAAAGCTGTTGGCCACAAGTAAAAAATTGTTTGGGCAGGCAGGACCAGCACAAAGGATATAAACTACTTACACACGAGTGCTTTTCCTGAGCGCAGAAGGCTGAAAAGTTTTCTCGCTTCGCTATTCAATAACAGGTTGGTTTTTATTGCTCCGCGAAATTGTTGCTAATTCGCTTTGAAAGCGAAAGGCATTATTATCATAAATGATGTGTTTTGTTGCATATATTTTGGCGTTTGATACTCGCTTACGTGACCCTGAATGCATGTTATAAACAATTGTTTATTTTTAGGGTAACAACCTCTGAAATCAAAAACGTTATACATTTGAAACAAAAAAAAGTTAAGCATGTTTGTAACATCCAAATATGTACTAATTTTTCTTAATTTTCGTGGAACGTCTCAACATTGTATACATTGAGGCAAAAACATATTAAAGCTCCTAGGTAAGAGCTTTTGGAAAAGCTCTATTTTCCAGTTGTCAGCTTACAGTTGATCATTTTAATCAATCACTATTCTTGGTTTTAACATAAACAATATAAAAAATAGGGTTTCAACGTATTTTTGTATATGTAAAAGTCGAAAGTAATTTAAATTAGCGGAAACTGGCCATATATTGATGGCAATAGAAATTGACGGAATCAAACTTGTTGCGTTTTTTGTAATAATTTATTTAATAAGTTACAGTAAAAATATTCTTAAAATAAGACTCTTAGATATAATTGATAAAATGCCTTTTAAGATAACAGCAAAACAAGTTCCTTCGGATATTCAAAAAAAATATATAAATATATGACTTGTCCTTATAAAAATGATTGTCTAAAAATTAAAAAAGATAAAACGTATACTATTAGGAAAGGAATTGACTTTAATTATGAAAAGTTAATTGCGTCCCTAGTGTGAACAGGCTACAAAGTGAATTGAATATCGATAGTTGCAGGAAAGTCGAAGCATCGATATTTTAAAGTAGAAATCGCAGTGTGTTCCAGCTCTAGTGTGCAAATTGAATAATAACAATATAATAATGCGTGCAGTGGTGTCCTGATCGGCGGAAATAGACAAAAAACATTAGGAGTCATTTTTAATGGCATATTAAGTGAAAACAGTAAGTTGTGCTATCATCGCGTCCTGCTGTTGCTGCTACCAACGTTTGTGCACTTGCATATACATATGTTGCATTGTGTGTATCTGTGCCGATTTATGTTTGGTTCCCCGCCCACAAACAAGGCGAAATAACAACAACAACAAAAACAAGAGGAGGGTCCCAGTGCAATGGCAATCAAAGAAATGGAAATTTACCATGAATCAGACTGTCAGTTCTCCAAGTCGCCGCTCTATCTATCTTTATCATAAGCTGCGTACGATTCCGGGGATCAGTCGAATCAAATCGCCTACAGTTGGAGAAATTACGTGCTAAAACTATAGATATGGATTAAGCAAAGTTCTTTAAAACCAAAATTCATTCTGAAATACTCAATGAAATATTAAGCTTTGTTTAGAATTAGCTTATAATTAACGGCAAGTCCACAAAATTTCGTTAAAGTACGAGTAACGATCATGTTATGTGCCCTTTATTTCCCCAGCGTGAAAATTCTTTCCGTGTATCTTCCACTTGAGCAGCCTCTCAGAATTGGCCACAATGTGCATTGTTCGCATATGCAAAATCTTTGAAATCCGAGAAGCGTGTCTTCTCCAAATTTTCGCTTTGAGTAGGAATCCAGTTCGGGTTACGCTGCGTCCGGTTTCCCAAGATATGGTCTTAATATGGGCAGATTGCGGTGCACTTTCAACCTTTGACTTTGGCATTGGCTCTGGCTTTTCCAGGAATCGCCTGACGCCCCCTCTCACTGACCTTGACATTTGCCGTTAAAATAGCAGGAATGTTCCGTGTGTGACGTGGTGGGTGGTGGAAGACGGGTGGCAAGGTTGCTGGGTGGCGCGCTGCACGGGGTATGCGATTCCTGCACGTGGCCTGCGGCATTGACAGCTCTTAAAGTATCGCAGTAGCGGCTTATGAGCACCCCTAAACTAACTAAGTGACATTTAATTTAATTAATGAGCCTGGAGCAAGTGATGCTTATCTAATCTTATCTGCAGTAAATATTGGTTTAGTATTCAAATCAGCCTTTCCCTGAATAGTTACTTTCTTATCACAACTTACAATGCACACGAAACCATGAATTATCTTTTGTAGCAATTAAATTAGAATTTATCACATGGACTATTTGCAACGCACACCTTTTCTGCCTATAAAGCAAGGTATAAGAATGGTATGGTGTGACACACGAAATTTTAGTAATTATTACGATTATGCATGTATTTATGAGATCATACATACTGGGTATTTCGTAGTGAGAGTCTCCTCCACGGCAACATTTTTGTTTGCCTTATTTTGACGTCACTGTTGGAATGCTTAATTATTGATTTGCGTGTAGGGTTTCTGAAAACTTTATGGTCAACTGGTTAATAAGGAGCGACGGCCACTGACAAAAACAAAAGTAACAAAGCCGGGCTGAAGCGAAGGGGTGGAGATGGGGCCGTTTGGAGCAGGGTTTGTGTGGGTGGAAGCACCATGACGATGACGCACGATGCGATTGCCGCCCGGCTGACGCAGAATTGATAAAGTGCAGCCATAAACGAGTGCGCGTATTGTAGTCCTAACTTTCCCTTTTTTGCGATTGCACACAGGAAAACATAAAATACAAAGATTGTAATACTTGGGAAAATATTAAAAAAAAGTCCGTCCGAAAGCCCGAGCTATGGCGGATCTCTATTGTAGCATAAGTTTATAACTTTTTCTACAGCTCACAAATAAATAAATAATGATTGTAGTTTGGTCTCGTACAGAGACATTTTTTGGCTTAGTTTCGGTGTTGTAATCGCAGTATTTCCATTACAGGGTAGAGCAACGAGTTCCTCGGGCCGCGGCTGCTGCTGCTGTTGCTTGGGCACACTTCTGGGCAACGCATTGTCGCCGCCGACCGCAAAGCTGGGCAAAATTATGAACTTGTGTTCCTCGGGCGCAACGGCATCGACCACATCGTTATCGTCCACGGGCCAGGCGGAGAGGAGCGGCGGAGTACCAGGAGGAGGAGCAGAAGGCGGCGGAGGAGACGGAGGAAGCGGTAACAGCGGCGGCGGCGGCAAAGCCAACGACGGATCCGCAGAGGCCCCAACACTCTGCTTCGCTGGAGGATCGGGCACAGCAGGTGCAATCACCGGATCGGCGGAGCTGACCAACGCCAACAGCCCGGCAAACGGGGCAGGAGGAGCAAGTGGGTTTACCGGCAGTGGACAACAGCCGACTGGCAGCAACGGACACAGCCACCTTCACAACGAAAACAACGCAAACATGCCGCCCGAAACGCGTCCCAAAATGGTGACCGTCAAGCATCCGGAGTCCAACAAGCCCAAGCCCACCACCAAGAAGAGCAAGCCCATCCAGGCCGACCAAGATGTCATCAAGGCGTTGCAGCGGTGCCGCGATGAAGGCAAGTATTTCGACCATGTCGATATCACGGATATTTCCGTTTTCATTTAATGCTTTCCTGAATGAAGTAAGAAACATGACACATCAAACTTTTATCTCATGTCACCAGCATTAATATAAAGTTGCAAATATATTTAAGGAATTGGAATGGCTGCTAGGCTATACAAACAAAGAAAGAATTAACAAGACTAAAATACCCATTTTATAAATTGATTCACTTTATACAACCTCTGTAATGATTTTATATGCTCCCCGCAGGCATCAAGCGCTTGGACTTGAGCAAATCCTCGATCACGGTGATCCCCAGCACGGTGAAGGAGTGCGTCCATCTCACGGAACTTTATCTGTACAGCAATAAGATCGGCCAACTTCCGCCGGAAATCGGCTGTCTGGTGAGCTTACGTAACCTTGCGCTCAACGAGAACTCGCTGACCTCGCTGCCGGAGTCCCTGCAAAACTGCAGCCAACTGAAGGTGCTGGATCTGCGGCACAACAAGCTAGCGGAGATTCCACCCGTGATTTACCGTCTGCGCAGCCTGACCACTCTTTACCTGCGCTTCAATAGAATCACCGCCGTGGCAGACGATCTGCGCCAGCTGGTCAACCTGACCATGTTGAGTCTGCGGGAGAACAAGATCCGGGAGTTGGGCAGCGCCATCGGTGCGCTGGTCAACCTCACCACGCTGGACGTGTCACACAACCATCTGGAACACCTGCCCGAGGACATCGGAAACTGCGTAAACCTCAGCGCTCTGGACCTGCAGCACAACGAACTGCTGGACATTCCCGATAGTATTGGGAATCTGAAATCCCTGGTGCGGCTGGGCATGAGATACAATCGATTAAATAGCGTGCCGGCCACTTTGAAAAACTGCAAGAGCATGGACGAGTTTAATGTGGAGGGTAATGGCATAACCCAGCTGCCAGACGGCATGCTGGCCAGCTTGAGCGGATTAACCACCATCACTCTTTCGAGGAATCAGTTTGCCAGTTATCCAACTGGCGGCCCAGCGCAGTTCACCAATGTCTATAGCATTAACTTGGAGCACAATCGGATCGATAAGATTCCCTATGGGATCTTCTCGAGGGCCAAGGGTCTCACCAAGTTAAACATGAAGGAGAACATGCTGACGGCTTTACCTTTAGACATTGGCACCTGGGTGAACATGGTGGAGCTAAATCTGGCCACAAATGCGCTACAGAAACTGCCCGATGATATCATGAACCTGCAAAACCTTGAGATACTCATCCTGTCAAACAACATGCTCAAGAAGATTCCGAATACAATTGGAAATTTGCGAAGGCTAAGGATACTAGACCTCGAGGAGAACCGCATTGAGGTGCTGCCGCACGAGATTGGATTGCTGCATGAGCTGCAACGTTTAATCCTGCAAACCAATCAAATCACCATGCTGCCGCGTAGCATCGGCCACCTGGGCAACCTGACTCACCTGTCTGTAAGCGAGAATAACCTGCAGTTCCTGCCCGAGGAGATTGGTTCGCTAGAGAGCCTTGAGAATCTGTATATCAACCAGAATCCCGGTTTGGAGAAGCTGCCATTTGAACTGGCTTTGTGTCAGAATCTTAAATATCTAAACATTGACAAGTGCCCGCTGAGCACTATTCCTCCAGAAATCCAAGCTGGCGGGCCATCGCTGGTGCTGCAGTGGCTCAAGATGCACTCGCCGTACCGCCAGATGTGAGATGTGGACGGCGTTTGGCGCACCGTCTACGTGGGCAGCGACTGCTACTACCAGTATGAGCTGCAGACGGTGAACCAGGCGCCCGGTGCTGGTGGCAACGGTGGTGGAGGAGCTACAGCAGCAGGAGGATCCGCATCCAGAAGCAGCGACCGTCGCTAACGGTGCGATCTCAGCTAACGGGCAAGACCCCGTCCCCATCCTTTATCCCAATCATTAAGGGAGAAAGCCGTGATAGATAGGTGTTTTAGTTGAAATCATTCGAAAGCGGAATATGCTTGATAAAGGTTCTAATTATTTTAGTTTAATTATTTGACAAAGCACATTAATATGTAATGATTCCAGCTTCTTTCCGAAAGCGATTCTTATTGCTTGACCTTCTACTTAGGCTTGCTCCCTTAAAACGACTGGAGTGCGTTGGCTGACAAAACGATAGCTTTAAAACGTTATACCAATGTCCCGCGTATTGTAAACTGCCCCGATTTACTTTTTCTTTCTGTGTTCAATAACACTTCAGAGTCCGCACTTTAGGTTCTAATTTAACTCATGCTTCCAAGCTAGTCAAAAATATAACACACGAAACGAAACGAAAGTAAATTGAAAGCTTTAAATCTTCTGTTCTGTTTTTGGTCACGGACAAAGAAAGCGTAATATTCAAAACTTCACAAAAAAGCAAAAAAAAAAAAAAAACGCAAGCGCCAAGGAATTGTTTGAAAAAAATTAAAACTAAAAACAAAAAGTGGTTAAGAAAATTATTAATCCGTATACACATTAAGCGTAGTCGTATTTTGTAAAAGCAAGCGCAAACAAGAAGCAAAAAGTATTAAACTGTGTGTAATTTGTTTAAATAAGAAGATTGCAAATGTTTTTTTGTGGCTCCTCCAGGCAAGCTTACATTTTTCACAAATGTAAGGTAGTGCAGCATTTTGTATGTTAGTCTAAGCTAAAAATAACCACGTAAAGTACTAAAGCCATCTGCACTTTCGGCTAATGGCATTAAACTAGCGAAAACTAATGTTGTATACTTTATTATTTTAATGTCGGTGTGTCTGTAATTGATTTGTATGAATATTAAGATGATTTAAATGCATTTAGTTATCATAACCATAATCAACGATATTTGTGTGGCAAGTAAAAAGAGGTAGGCGTAACTGAATATTGTATAATGCCACAAAACTGATAAGCGCAAAAGATATCTAGAGATATGGAGACATGGACTCTGAGTTTCTGTTCTAGTGAAGTTGAATTAAACTACTTATAAAAGAATGAAGAAAAATGTTCTGACGCGATAAGAAATAATTTAATGTTTAACAGCGATTATTGGTTTATTTACTAAATGTTCTTTCTGTTAAATAACTATTGTTTTCTGCTGTCAAAACACTTTTGTTCAGCACATTTTAGCTCCGATCTGCCATTATGGTACTACTCCATTGAATCCGCTTAAAAACAAGTTACAAATTCGATTTATTTTTTTATATCGTAAGCAAAATATCTTCAAACATAAAACGGGAGAAAAACCATTTAGAGCTACTCCCCCTACATTGCAACGCAAATGGGCTTTACATTTTAAAGAAATCTTTAAAAAATCAATAAATCAACGAAGCTAACTTTAAATGTTTTACATCCATACAAACATATTTACACTATACACGTACGATCAACTTTTACACATCTATTTTTTGAGAAAACACTCGAGATCTACGCGTACATATTGATTTCAGGACTCCATGAGATATGTACATATATTTTTCAAACAAACTGTATGCGGCAGGGTAAACTAATCTGGCAAACGTAATTTAATTACAACGCAAATTGTCAAATAATATGAGAAAGAGAGTATATTTCCAACGGTACAAAAATAAAAAACGTAAATGTAACAGAAATACAAATAAATGTTAAACTAATAATCGCACACTAGAATAATGAAAACACAAACACACGGTGGATATTCAGAACCAGAGTTTGGCGAAATTTCGAGCCAATCGCAAATAGAAACAATAAATGTAAAATGAGGTCAAGTTAAATGCAAGTGAAATGTACAAGTTATATGGTAAAGATGTTTAAGTCAAGCATAAAGATACTCCTAAAACAAAAAGCATATTTAAGCATACCTACATATTTGCAAAATAAAAGGAAACAAAATGTTAAACTACTTCAATCTCGATCTGCTTTACGAGCTTAGTTTTATAGCAGTCGGCTTTATTTAAGCTGGCAATGCTGTGTGGCACCGTTATTGAATGATCTCTCAGTTGTTACCCTCGGATTACGAATGGCTAAGTAGTTTGGTTTGTACGTTTTTACGCTGCTCGCTAACTTCTCTCAAAAGCAATTGTTTTATCACTGCTAGTTTCTCACAATTTATTTACCTTTAAATAATTTAATACAATGCCGATTAAATTTTGCAACAGTTGTATTGCTTGAATTTTATATTGATTTTTTGACACAATATTCGTTAGGTCGAACCCAAACTTTGTTTAATTAGATATTAGTTTAAATTTATAATTTAAGTATATTGCTGACTAAGTGCTCAAAACATACAGCCACTCATGCGTCGCATACGCCCCACCGAGTCCGAGGTACCTGCTGAAAACAGCTGGTTTTGGTTCTTTGTACTCCGAAGCACCTGATAATAAAGGCGCAATAGTAGCCCAGTCAGTTGACAAACAAAGCGCAAAGCAGAAGTACCTAAGGGGCCATTAGTCCAGATCCTCCAGGTAGGCATAAATACATATGTATGCGGGAATTACTGGCAGAATATGAAGCACACGGGAAAATAAGGGAGGCGTCAAAAAGGTCAACGCTATCCGTTGTCCTCTTTGTTTACGGCCTACATCGTTAATCACAGAGTGGAAGATAAGCCAGTCATTGCAAATCCGCTGCTTAAAAATGCTGACCCGCCTGCTGTCCAGTGTTCAGTGATCTTTCAGAACCGAATCGTTATACTTGCAGTCAAGCCATGCAATCCTGCCATTACCTACTACTCGCCCTGATTTTGGCCCTCCTGGGCTTGAGCCCCAGTTCCGGTTACTCCCCACGAAGAGATGAACTTATTATTAGAAAATTTAAACGACAGCAGGAGCTAAACCACGCCAAGATCGCCAGGGATTTGGTCCATCGCGCCAATTGGGCGGCTGTGGGAAGTCTCTCCACCAACGAACTGGTGAAGGGGTATCCCATGGTCAACATTATCTCCATAGATGACAGCGATGCTAACAACAGGTCCACTGGACGGATTCGATTCCTGCTAACCGATTTGGACTTCACTGGTCCCGACTGGCAGACGGCCAACAAGGTCACACTCATGTTCAGTGATGAGCAGACCCTTAGGTGCAAGGAAGGCGGAAAGGATCCCATGGAGCCTACATGTGCCCGCTCCATGATCAGTGGACAGGTCAAAAAGGTGTGTAGAATAGAATAAAACCTATTTAAAATTGTAAAAAAAATCGGATTAATTCGTAGATGGATCCCAGCGACACAAGCTATCAGCCATCGTTGGATGCCTATGTCAAACGTCATCCAGCTGCCATCAATTGGGTAAAAGGTTAGTACCGCAGCTATAAGATTATTACTTTGATTTTGGAACAATGGAAATCATTCCCAACTTAGTGACAGCGAGCTTTTTTTATAATCTATCAATGAACATAACTCGATAAGGAAATATTTAAATACATACTAATAATAAAGACGTTGCCCTTACAGCCCACAATTTCTACCTTTGCGAACTGGAAATCAGCAACATCTTTGTTCTTGACTTCTATGGAGGTCCTCACAAAGTAAGCGCCTCTGACTACTACGCTGTTTCGAATTGACGATCTCCTCCAGAAGGAAACAACTTTACGGCTCACATACTTTGTCAACAATTAAATGATAAGCATATTTGCACAACGCATTTGCTCAACAGGAAAGAATGAACACAAAAAGCCACTTTATCAGTTAAGCCCTGTGATTTCACTCGATAGAACAATAACTTTTATATAAATATAAATTCCATTGTCCTCGGACATACTGAAGAGTTTTAATTGATATATAAAAATATTTGAAAATAATAAAACAACAGAGATAGCCATTAATTTTCAGTAACTGATAAGATGCAGCGGCAGCCTATGGATAATTTATCTGATTCATTAAGTAAACTTCACGTTCTGAATGACTTATTCCCATATACCCACATCTATATGTACTACTTACCCTTCGCCAAACGAGTCGTAGGTAAAGAGAACCTTTAAGGTAGTTAATTTTTATGTATATTTTAAACGCATGTTTTCCAAAGTTAATCGATATAAATGTATTGGCGCAACGCCGTGGATTAGTCTTTCAAGGGGTTTACAGTGGTTCCATCTAGGAACCGGGCACCTTACACAGGGTGGCATCGATCTTCTGCAGCTGAGGCAGGATGTCGCGCAGTTTAGAGCGGTACCGAACATCCTTGGCCAGCGGATTGTACTCCAGGTAGATGGTCTGCAGCGACTTGTTCACCTTCAGAAGCTCGATGTTCTTCCAGTCATCGACTCCGTTGTGGTTTAGCCACAGCTCCTCGAGGAGTTCGAGCTTCTCCAAATTGGCAATGCCCTTCAACCGGTTTTTGGCCAAGTCAAGGGTCTCCAGTTTCGTGTTCTCGGAAAGGTTTTCAATGGTTTCCACTCCGTTTTCCGATATGTAGAGTTCGCGGAGGCTGGCAAGCTTTTCTAGGTTCTCGATTTTTACAATGCGGTTGGCCTGCAGACTAAGGATCTCCAAATTGACCAGTGTGTCCAAGTTCTCGATCTTTGCTATCTTGTTTTTGCCCAGGAAGAGCTGTCGTAGGTTCACCAGCATTTCGATGTTTTCGATTTTCTTCAGTTTGTTGTCCCCCAGCTCGAGCATAGTAAGATTGGTGAGCATCCCTAGGTTCTCGATTTCGGTTATCCGATTTGACACGAAGTAGACCTTTTCCAGCTTGACCAACTTGTCCAGGTTCTCTATCTTCGTAAGACGATTGAAGCTGATGTCCAGCACCTCCAGTTGGGTCAAGTCGTCTAAATTCTCAATCTTCGTTATCTGGTTGTCGTACAGCTCCAGCTCAATCAATGTTTTCAGGGTGGACAAGTTCTCGATCTTTTTGATCAGATTCCAGCGCAGAAATAGACGTTCGATTCGCGTGAGCGGCTCGAAATTCTCCAGCTTCTCGATCCGGCGATGATTCAGATCGAGCTCATAGCAGTCCGGATCGATGGTGATTACCTCCTCAATGGAGGCCACATCCTCGGCGGGAATCACCTGGATTCCGGCCACCGTTTTGGCGGCTTCCGGTTCGTTCATCGCACGGTCAGCATCGCCCATGACGGATATAATTTCACCGGTATTTCTATTTCCAATTCAAAGATGACTTCTCCCAAAATTCAACGCTGACTTGACTTGTTTATTCCGCTGCTCAGGGTGTAGAACAAAGTGGGGTGGTCTTCCCTCAAAGAATGTGACGTCGACGCTTCCCGCTGTTACAAAGAGCAAGAACACGTTAAATATGTACACAAATACATAGTTTAAATTCATAAGTCAAGGCTAAACTTGCATACTCCTTGTTTTTCACGCGTTCAAATGGCAACCCAATATTTTTCTTCACCTTACAAGCTTACCGGCACTTTGACACTTTTTTTTGCTAGAGATGTGCCTTTGAGGACATGATATTAAGCTAGTACTGTTACAAACACCATTATATATGAAAAAATATTTGATTGAAAAATATGCCAAATGAGCTGGTCTATGGTCTAGTCGCAATAAGCTTAACGTACTAATTGCTTTATTACTACAATTTACTCCCTAAAACTCTTGTTAGTCTTTCAGGCAGCTGTGCAAGCATGAATCGTGATTAGAAATGCGCATCTCTAGTATTTACTCTTCTTCTTCATTAGTGTTAAACAACGCCGGCGGGTTCAATCAGCTGTTTTCCAAGCGTGTTGATTTCAATTGGCAACAAATTGCAAATTCTTCAAATAAAAGTAAAATGCTTCGAATTGACAGCGAAGAAGTAGTTTAAACTGTCAAACAGTGGCTAAGAACGAAACCTTGCAGGTGGCAGTGTACATTTTAGCAAAGAACAAACATCAATCATGTCTACGGGCTTTAAATGTCGCAATTGCGGATCCAATGAGATCGAGGAAGACAATGCTCGCGGAGATCGAGGTATGCCTGGCTATATGGACATCCAAGTATCCATGTGCATATCACTTACGTTCACCCATTCACTCTAGTTTGCATGAACTGCGGCTCGGTGCTGGAGGATTCTCTCATTGTATCCGAGGTGCAGTTCGAGGAAGTGGGCCATGGAGCAGCCGCCATTGGCCAGTTTGTGTCCGCCGAGTCGTCGGGCGGTGCCACCAACTATGGCTACGGCAAGTTCCAGGTGGGATCGGGCACCGAATCCCGCGAGGTTACCATCAAAAAGGCCAAGAAGGACATCACCCTGCTCTGCCAGCAGCTGCAGCTTTCCCAGCACTATGCGGATACCGCTCTGAATTTCTTCAAGATGGCATTGAGTAGGCATCTGACGCGCGGCAGGAAGAGCACCCACATTTACGCCGCCTGCGTGTACATGACCTGCAGGACTGAGGGCACCTCCCGTGAGTCGGGCATTCCTTTTGCCTAAGGAATATCATATTGACTGCCCTTTTTTCTACAGATCTCCTTATCGACATCAGCGACGTACAACAGATCTGTTCCTATGAGCTTGGGCGCACCTACTTGAAGTTATCGCATGCCCTTTGTATCAACATACCTTCTGTGGGTGAGTGAATACTAAACTACATACATATTAAAATCCCGATCCAGTCAACTGTACTCAAAGATCGACCCTTATTCATAGAGAGCTCAGGAAATTGAAATTTATAACTTGATCTTGCCTCAATTGTTAACTATTCTAGTTTGATCTCCTTTTTTTCTTTGTGTACTACTTACGTGGATGGTCAATCCCAATATCCAACATTTCCAACTCTGAGAAAGTAAATTCGCAAAAATCTAATAATGTATTTTGTTTGATTAAAGTACATAATGGTAATAGATTCATAATCAATATAGGGTAACATTTTATATAGGTATATGCATATAAAAACCATAATTGTCTTATCAAAAGCAAAAAATCAGTACAATTTCCAAAGAAATTCAAGACTCGAACGTAAAACTGATTGGTGCGCACAGCAGGCTATAATGCACAGGAGAAGTACAGGGCTTAATATCAGTAGAAAGGCATATTGTGTATGTATGAGAGATATAATGGAACAACTACGAAATAGATATAATGCATACTACCAGATTAATATTTGAATATATATGTAGAGACGATTTTGCGCGCATACTCGTACAAGATCCCTTGATTTCATTTTCGTTTGCTAATTCGTAAACTGGTTAACTTGGCTTTCATTCAATTCAAATTCGTAGTATGCAATTCTTAACATGGCCTATTCTCCCTTGAAGTGTTTAGGACTATAGTTTATCATTATCAGATCAGATGTGTGTATATGTTAGGTATATGCTGGCAAAAATATGTTTGGTATATATCGTATTAGCTTTTGTCCACTCCCCCTTAACTCTTTTTAGAATATTGGTTAACGCTAGCTTGACTGATTGCCCGATTTTCACTTATTGCATTTATTTATGCGTCTCTATATAGCGCCCATATTACCCCATCCCCCCCTCTTAAATCGTGGAACGTGTTAAGATTTCGAGTCAACTACTAATCTGCATCTATTTAGTTTAGGGTGTATATGATCAACTTCTTTCGATTTGAAAATATCTTTATATGTATTACCAACAGACTATGTACAGTGCGTTTTAGAACTGCAAAACCGTGGATTTAACTGGCTTAACATACTTGGGGATATCGAAGGGAATTTTTCAAATATCGCAAATTCCTTATAACGATTGACTTGCATCGGCTGACTTTCCTTTTTAGATGATCACGTACTGACAACTGTCTTGGAGCTTTAAAACGCACTGCCGAGGTGTATATATATGTGTCTATGCTTTGACGTGTATATATGTCTATATATAGGACTATTATGAAAACTAGAGCACTCTACTATCTTGGTATATATATGCGCCTAAAATTCCAATTTACTTTGTTGTGCTGCACTGAAAACCCATGAGTTTCGATTTTGTATCTGTAGCTTTTGCGGTTGCTGTGTTTTGTATTGTTCTGTTGGTCTCCTCTGTTGCTGCTGCTGCTGCTGTTGGCGGTAGTAACAGGCTCCCTGCCACTCGGCGCAGTAGAGCTGTGCGCATCAGGTGCTTCCGTCGCCATCCTCCCCAGAACTGTTGGCGTTATTGCCAGATCCATTGTTGCCATTTGGAACAGCTGTTCCGGCTGCTGCGGTTGAAGGCGCTCCTGCAGTAGAGGAACCACCACCAATAGGCGTGGGACACAGTGAGTTAGTGGGCGAGCTCATGGCGGTCACTGTGGTGGGTCCGTAGAAGATTAACTCTGGGATTTGGCCACCCTGAACTCCAGTGCCGTTGGTGCTCTCCGACGAGCACTGAAACTGGAATGTCACATTGCCCATGAGCACCTCGAACATGCCCTCCTGGCCAAAGAAGCTAAGCTCGTTTCCATCGAGTATTACTGAGGCGGTGTAATAGCACTCGGGCTCGATCTGGATGGGATTCTCGAAGAACACATGGAACGTGTTGCTTGATCCGTCCGAGAAGAACTTAGTGTCGTTCTCTGCAAGGGTGCGCCCCAGGCGTTTAAGTTCGATCTTTACGTTATAGTTGGCTGCGCCAGTCGACGAGCCGTACAGTCCAAAACCCACGATGAAAATTCTGAAATTTGAAGTTTTTCATTACCCTAATCCAATAACTGTCTATCAATCTTACCTTCGGTCCACCGAGAACTGAATTGAGTCACAACGTCCGCGGTAGCGCCACTGGTTTGAGCGATAGGCGCACGACTGGAAGCGATGGCAGACCTGGGTCTTTAATCCCGCCCTGGAGCGTGTGGGAAAGCCCAGAGAGGGCTTCATCTTGGCGGTGA